ATATAAACCATTTTAGAATTGTTGTTGTTTTTAATGCTTCCCGTTTTAAAAGCACGAAACGCTTTGTTTCTCTAAAAGCAAAAATAGTAAATTATCTATTTACTTGCGGTGGCCTTCATTAATTTATCTTCAGTATTAGTGGCTATTAATATAAAGATATTACACAGCCCTACTGTAGGGGAATCACACGTGTGAAAAGAGGTAGAAATGAAAAATAAAGCCATATATAAGTAGACTGAAAATAGCTGCCCACCAAAGATTTACATTCCAAGTGTCAAGAACCTTAAAAACAGCTTTTAATGCAAATTTTTGTCAGATTCTAAGACTTCAATACAGGTAGTGCTCACTTTCACAACTTACATTTTACCACTCTACTCACTCAAAGCTAGGTAATAAAGATATGTTACTCTGTGTCACTCTGACTTTACATTGTTCATTCACTGATCTTTATCAATATCTGAAGAAAAGCAATAGCATATGCCAATAGAAAAAACACACACATGAAGTAAAGATTAAAGCAAAAGTCTTATGAGTTCACAACATATAATAAACTTCTAATAAGTCTTTCTTTGGTTTGCCTGTGATGCCCCTACTTATTCTTAAATGTCACCTCCCTTAAATACAGCTTCCCCCACACTGCACCCCAGTAGAACTGCCTCTTCTCCTTATCATAGTAATTACCAAATTATAATTATTTATATGTTAGTGGTATGAGAACCTAAACTTCTGGTAAAAAATGAAATGGAAAAGAGCAGATAAAGTAGAGAAACACTGTAGTAACAGAATTCACAGGCTGAGAACTGAATGGATCTGATGGGGAATTCAATGATGACTCAGAATTCAAGTTTGGGAAATGGGAAGGATAAGGCAGTAACAAAGAAAGGAAAGTTAGATAGAATACATTTTAGGAGAAAGAAAATTCAGATTTGAGCATATCGAACTTGACGGCATGACAAACATATGGGGCTCTCCAGCTGGAAACAGAAGTTCATACACTTAAAGTATAGGAGTCATCTGAAAGAGGTACTCACTAAAGCCAAGGAATAAGGAAAATAATTACGGAAAATGTATAAGGCATAACTTAAAGAAACAAGTTGACCTTGCAAATGAAAAGATGAGTGACTAGAATATACAGGAGAGCCAGGAGGGCGACGAAGTTATAAGGAGAATGGAAGAGGAAACAGGAGTTGACAGTGTCAAATCTGAAGAATTAAGACTGAAAAAAAAATCCTCATTTGGCAATTCAAAGGTCACTGGCAACAAAAGAGAGGTTTAGTAAAAAAGAAGGTAGCAAAATTGAAACAATAGACATACTGCTATTTCCTTTGAGGTGTTGTCATAATACACAAAAAGAAAAAACAGAAAAGAGAGAAAAAAGAATAAAGAAAGGTATTGAGTGGTTTTTTTTGTTGTTGTTGTTGTTTTAGGCCATTAAAGATGCTGTTGGGGAGGTTGAAATAAAAATGATGAAGCAGTTAACAAATGAACCTATATATATTCCAATAGATAAAAGGGATAAAAGAAGTAGCCATGAAGTAGCCATGAAAGCCTAAACGACACATCCTTAAAACCAAATGGTAGAGAGGAGGAGAAATTACACAATTCAGAGATAAAGAAAAGCAAAGCTGAAGAAGCTTCTGTTTGATCATCTTAATCGTCTTATTCTTTTGAAAAAAAAAAAAAAATTAAGTGAAACAACCCACAAAATCTAAGACAGTAAAGATGTTCCATCCCAATAAACCCATAAGCTGAAAATATCTTTAGCTGAAAATGCATTTAATATACCTAATTTACCAAACATCATAGCTTAGCCTAGCCTATTTTAAATGTGCTCAGAACACCTACGTGAGCCTACAGTTAGGCACTTTGTAGACATGATAGGATGCAAAAACACAAAACACAATTATCCAAAAAATGTTAGCAACACAGTACACTGTACAGTATCAGTTGTTTACCCTTGTGATTGCATAGCTGACTGGGAGCTGCAGCTGGCTGCCACTGTCCAGCATCACGAGAAAGTATGGTATCACACACTGGTAGCCCAGGAAAAGATCAAACTTAAAATTTGTTGCATGGTTTCTACTGAGTGCATACTGCCTTCATACCATCATAAAGTCCAAAAAATGTAAGTTGAACAATTATTAAGTCAGGACGGACTATGTACTGGAATCAGGGGCTAGGAAGTGGGTAGAATAGGTATGAAATAACCCCTGTAGAAAATCAATTAGAAAAGAATTGCCAACCAATATAAGTATTTTGGAGCACACTTTCTAATCACTTATTCATCTCATTTTCACTTAACTAGCAGAGGGCACAAGTTCTTTAGTCTATTGACTTGATTATTATTCTTTTTTAAAGGCAGCTTTCTATATTGTGATCTGAGGTAATGATGTTCTGTATTTCTTTTCCATTGTGTATTACTCCATTTTTTCTTTGCTGTCAAATCTTTTAAATTAATCATCTTAATGCTTTAATATGGTTTTAGTCTTGCTCTGATGTTTTGCTTAAATATCAAAGTAGTATTTGATTACTCAAGAAATCCTTAATATCTACTTTCGAAAAGACAAGTATTTGAGAGAAATATATAAAGAATAAGGACTCTAAACCTAGAAATAGCTATATCTTCTGACAGCTGCTCATTTATTATTATGATTAAAAATAAAAATGCCCTGGGAAAATATAAATGATGATCGTCTTTAATATTTTGAAGCTTCATAAGTTATAGAAAGAAGTGTCTCTTTTCCTTTACACTGAAATTTTTCCAATTACATAATTCATGCTTAGGTACTTCATATGTATTACAAATTCAGTGGGACATTTAAAAATAAATATGGCATAGCATACATTCAAAAGAATAGTGTTGCCATAAAAATAGTCACCTTAGAAAGCTCTATACTTATTCCTAGAATGCTGCCATTGTATAAAAAGCTTTGGGATTCAACTTTTGGAACTTCTTTAAAGTCTTAACACAGTTTTTATAACATTGTCAAAAGTGACAAATCTTCTTTAAATATAGCTTTGATTTGGGGATATTTCTTGTTATCATAAATTTTAGATAGGTTTATCTAAATTAGAAATACTACTTTTGAACAGAAAGTGTGACTACAATGCATGAAACAAATTTTCTTATGCTGCTATAATGACACCATCACTAAAATATATTTATAGCTGCACTCCCCTCCTCCACAGTGTCTGCTCTGTGGGTTACCACTCATATATTCTAGTATGTTCTGTAAAAATAAAAGTTCGATCATTTTATAGACACATTTTTGCTATTATGATAATACAAGAAGCTCTAATGATTTCTAAGAGTCAAATTATTGAATATTTGAAAGTAGTTAAAGCACTCCCATTTTTTAAATTTAGCTAGCTGTTATTCAATGCCTTATCTTTTTTAATATTATATTAAAAATGCACATTACCCATTTGGCATTACCTGATATCAGCCTACTCGTCAGATGCCTATTCCTGTTACAAACACATACACACACACATGCACACCTCTATTTTTAATTCTCTACATACATATTTTTTTGCCCCAGTTTGTCACCTAAATGTTACCTATTGGCTTTCCCTCCAAATGAGCCCTAGGCGTCTTCCTTCGGGAGACATACATTTTCTTTGGTTCTTCTTTGAAAAACAGTCTAATCCCGCTCAGCTTCCTTGAGCCCAACTTGGTTCAAACTTAACTAAAATAGTTTCACCTCACTTCCTACACCCAAAACAAACAAAAAATAACTGAAAAGAAACTTCAATCACTTTTGAATTTCTACCTCTGAGAATTATTCAACTTTGTCTTTGTTCTCTTCAAAAATCTTCATTATTAAGTCAGCATTTAAGATTATCTCTATTCTCAAAGTTATGCACAGGAACTAAGAAATGCCCAAGAAAAAGTTTAATCAGCCATCTTGACTTTTCGATTCATAGTGACTACATTTAAGGGGAACATTTTAGGTACATTCTAGGAAAAGGTCAGTGAATATCTACCCAGCTGTGAAAACTGAAATAGAAGAAAATCAAAATAACCCATTTTATGGAGAAAGCAGCAGAGGTCCAGAGGGGAAGGTAGCTTACCGAAGTTTATACATTTGGTGGCAGAGCCAACACTAGCATCCAAGTCTCCTGATTTCAAGTTCAAGGCTCTTCTACTTTATTCATTCAAATTTCTAAACAGAATTATACTAAATCGAAGGAGCCAGATACAAAAGACTACAGATTGTATGATTCCATTAATATCAAATTTCTAGAAATAGCAAAACTATAGAGACAAAAAGCAGATCAGTGGTTGCCCGGGGCTGAGGGTAGAAACAGGGATTGGGCAAGCAGGCAAGAGCGAGCTTTTTGCAGAGTAAAAGTGTTCTAAAACTGGATTGTGATAAATGTTACACAACTGTATTAATTTACTAAAATTTGAAATATAATTTTTATGCTATATAAATTAAACTTTAATAAAGCTATTCAAAAAGTTACTAAGAGGGAACTCAGAATTTAGTTTTAAGTCTGCAGAGCTCTTAGGAAACTATATATCTAAATATCACTAAAACATGAAGAAACCAGCTTTTCTCAAATTTCGGATCCTTTTCCCCTCAGAATTTCCAAGTTAGGGACCCCAACTTCCAACCTCGCATTTGCATGGAAACAGAAAGTGACAGTACTGCACAAATATACACATTAGGAAATATGCAAAATTCTGTGAAAACACTTTAGATATTGATCATTATTTCTTTCTTGACAGGATCAGCACTAACCTAAGTAAGCCTCTGCAGACAGTTATAGAATAAAGGATGTGTTCTTTTATCTGTTATCTGGTCTGACAAATTGCTTCAAAATAGAATTCCTTGCTGATTTTATTCTCATTACAACATTTACACCATTATAATTCAAACACTAATACAGTATTAAGAAGAATTATTCCTAATTGTGTATTAACAAGTTTATTTAGTTATTATTTGTGCAACGTTAGCTTACTCAGATTGACAGCACATTCTTTGTTTACTTACAAGTTAAAAATAACATTCTCTCTCTCTTTCTATGAAGGCTTTACATCCATGAGAAGTATTAAGTTGATCGTTCTACTGTTTGGACCTTAAAAATAAACATAGTTTTAATTAATGGAGGCCTAGAGACCTGTAGCTATGTCAGAGGAAGCAATCAGGATTACTCAGTAAACCTACATTTCTCATGCTGCCGAGGCTTAGTTTATCAAATCTAAGGAAAGACTTTTTGGCCTCAAGAATTTCAATTACCACCTTCCTGAGCCCTAGGGTCTCACTAAACTTTCTAAAAGAGAAAGAAAAATCTGATACTTATAAAAAGAAAGCAAAATGTTTACCCTGGCCTAAGCTCTAATTTTAAATAGGTTTTCTCAATGTTACGATCTTTTGACATTTGCTAACTGAACTAAGTAGTTATTCAAAGAAATCAAGACATGAAAAATATAACACAATCTCTACTGAATATACCTCTCTTTCAGGTATAAGTATAATTCCACGCGTTAGAGAAATTCAGTCAGATCCCAAATGATTAGGGGGCCTAATTATCAAACACACACTTTCTCCTTATGAACTTTTCACAATAACTGGCTTAAACCTGCTAACAGTACTTCCATGAATGGAGAACATTGCTGCTGATTTAATAGTTAGTTCTCTTCAATGGACACAGTATTTTTTTTTTTTTACATTATTGCAATGAGGCACACGAAGGTGAAAAAATGTTCTAAAAAACCAATTTCTTGTAGTCCAAAACTCCGTAGATGAAGACAGAAAAAAATAACACAAGAGGCATGAAAACGCACTCCAGGAAATTGGAAGAAGAAATGATGATATTAAATATTAAGTAGAATATAACGTGACTGATACAGGACCCTTAACAATGAACCAATATATCCCATATCCTTTTTTATATAGAGGTGCAAAATCATTTTTTAATAAATAGTATTAAACTCTATACCAACTGAAATTCTTCCGTTCCTTGCCTACTGCCTCAAAAGGAAATTAAATCATTATAATAAACCTACTGTAACATAAAAGTTAATGCTCTACCACGACATGTTCTGTGAGCTCTAAGGAAAAAAAATCCTATAAAGACAGTTAATTCCTACATTTCCTACCACTGCTGGGAGAGGAAGGATGACAAACAGGGAGGAAAAGGAAGTAAAGGGAGAGAGGAAAACTGAAGAAATCTTCCTCACCTCCAAAAGGGGCAGGCTCATCAACCAGCACAATCCTGTCTCTCTCAACCTTGATTCTTCCTTTCCTTGACTGCTCCAAACATAGCTAAGGTCTGAGACAATGGATATAATACTGAAGCTGTAAATTATATTTTCCACCTTTAACACTAATCAAGATAGTACAATCAATTATGCTTTTAAAATTATAAAAATGACTTTAAAAACTAGCTTATGAAATGTAGACTTAAAGTCATTTAATAACTTTGGTATGCTTTTATAGTTTGATAGTTTGTAAATATTATTTTTCCTACAGGAAAGTTTATTCTGGTTCTAGCTATTAACGGGATTTGATACTTCATTTATGGGATATGATATAAATAACCATTTACCAAATTATTAAAAATTTAAAATTCACTCATAGTTCATTAAAATCTTGACTGAATAAGATTTACACAGACACAAAACAGGTTCGTTTTAATTATATGTTTGAGGTAATTCGAATAGAAGAATCTCCCACTTTTATTTTACTTTTGTTCATTTATAATCAGAAAGTTACCAAATTTAAAGTTCATATCATGTAACGTTTCTCATAACAGATTCTAAAATAAACATTAGCTTGATTTCTAAAATTAACATCAATATTTTATTATTTTATAACATGAACTTTATTTACACTAACTAGTCATCAAGACTGTGGCGAGTAGAACTGTTATGTCTATCTTAACATAACTATCTTGTCATATTTATTCAGTTTATCTCACTGGGAAAATACATTTGAAAAACTTACAGCAAATACAGGGACCGTATCAGAAGTGATCTCTCAAGTTTTATTCCAGTGCTTCAATGAAGAGGTTATACTACAGAACCAATACAAAAGAAAAGAGAATAATATACCAAAGGCAAGTTTGAACTACATCAATATTAGCCTTATATTGGTATAATTTGTCAATTAAAAAAAAAACTTAAAAATCAAAACACATTTTCCTTTCACATTCATTTTCTGACCAAAAAAAAAAAAAAAACTATTACAAAAAGATATTTTTAAAAGTAGGTGAGTGAAGCATTAGGTTTGGCAAAGAAAGCCTTTTCAAAAGAAAAGTTAAATGAAATTAATCCTATAGCTGTTTTTTGTAGAGTATGAGTAACTCATATTGAAACATATGGCATAATCCCATGGTTCTATTTGCTCTTCTTCCATTAAAAAGTAAACATACAGTATCATATAAAGTTTATATGGGTTATATGTTTAGAATACTGTAGAAATGTAGATAGTCATTTAATCAAAGAGGAAAAACCTATGTCAGGTGAGTGATATGGTTCATTGGATTGGTTTGGTTCCTAATTATTCCAAAGAAAAAACTGGGATGATGGAGGGTGAATGGAGGAAGGGAAGATGTAAGCGAAAGAGTAAAATGTAGAAAGAAAGTCAGGCTGAGAACTGAGACTGATCTGTTAAACAATATATCTTAAATGCATACACATCCCCATATCATTTTCATCTGTTGGGAAACTTTTAAAAAATCAATTGTCAATATCTTTTACTTTTAAACATGTTTAATTGTCTCAGTATAACAAACTACAATTCAATAACAATTCAAACTGCAAAAAAGAAACCATACACTTTATGATACATAAATATAAGCCAGAGAACCATTAAAAGGAGAACCAAAGGAAATTTTGTATTAGTCCCCTAAAGGCTACACCTATTACATTAATGTTAACTATAGAAGATTGGAAGTAGATATCTCACATGAAAAGTATCAAAGGACCAGTATTGATGCAGGGTATAAAAAGTACTATAATACTTTTAGTTTCAGAGTTGTTTAGAATCTTAGTTTTATTTTATTTTTAAGTCAAGAGATTTATTTACATATTTATATTTACTCTTACGATTATACAATGGAGACACTTTTACTTTTATAAATGTTCTGTAATTTGAAATGGATGTATTTACCATTTAATTAAGCCAAGAGATTTACTAAATGTAGTTTATAGTAAATCAAAAATAACCATTAAAAATGGTAAAAGAGAAAAGTTAAAAAAAAAATGGTAAAAGATACATAAAAATATTTCGGCAAGTCTTATAAAACCTTAATATGTAGCATTAACCCCTTAAGTAAGGTAAACATCTCACTATTCTGTATCTCATAAATACTGTCATTCCTTTCAAAGAATCTACTTTTTTAAATTTTACCATCATTGAGATTCTATTTACACCATAAAGAGCAATGACGAACACACAGCCCAACCACTATCCTCAGAAAACTAAATATTCTAATAATTTTGCTATATACATTAGCAATTTCTGGCCTCAAACTTGAATATATGAACTGTGAGAAGTAAATTCACATACCTAACTGATTACAGTTTAGAAATCTAAAAGTGCCATAGACCAAAAAATATTCATATTCAAAGGCACAAATTCAATTTATTAGATTGGCTGGACTCACTACATTACACTGCAGGAGACAGAGGTTAAGAAGTGACCTTGGGATTCTGCTCTCCAGATGTCTCAAGTGTCTGTTTATTTATTGAAAGTACCTCTACTTTTAATAAGGTTACTAGGTATTTATTAAATTGATATCTTTGCCCATATAGGACTCTATCTGAAGATTTTTGAAATTTTAGGACTGTAGCTATTATAATGAAAAAAAATTAAGAAGATGCAACATAAACAAAGTCAAAATCTACTCCTTCCTTTCTGATGCACTGCACAAAAGAAACTACTATCACATAAAGTTTTGGGGCATATTTTCAGAGATTTTAAATGAGAAATTCAATAAACCTTAAACATGTACTTTTTATTATTTCAGATCCTGAAAATTCTAATTTGTAATACATAATATATAGACTCCATAATATATATATACTCCATAATATATATATAAACAACTACATACAAATATATGCCCATATCAATTCCCTTACTCTTTTAATTAAAAATTGATGTTTTTTCTGGTAATGAAAATCTGGTTTGGGGTGTTTTAAAAGTTCAAACATGGATTAAGCTATGCTTTGCTTTGGCACTAGCTCCCCCTCCAGACCAATCTACTAATACAACTGCACTTAAAAAAATAAACAAGAAATACAAGTTTTTCCAAGCAACTAGCAAATTTCAAAATTCAGGACTTTAAAAGGCATTCCAATTCCTTAAATTAACTAGTTAAAATGTGTAACCAAACACTGCAGAATTTAATCATAATTATTGTTTTTTTCAATTCTATACATCTCAAATAGAACTGGCTTGTAGGAGAACAACTTCAAGCAACTCTTAAATTTTAAGGACATCCTAAAACATATTCTATATGGTGCTATATTTTATTGAAATTATTTTGAATCACTATCCAAATAAACCACAACATACTCTTCATGTTAGCTCATCACTTGATCGAAGATACATTTTGCAACTGTTTCTGCAATCTATGCAAGTTTCATTCCAGCTGTTCAGCTCTTCAATTCAAGTAGAATTCTCAATTTATAAAGCAACAAAAGGAAAATCCATGCTTCCAAATCGCCCTTCTATGTTCCTTATAGCCTATTCATTTCTAACTCCCCATATTTTTACATACTAAGCTGTAAAATTACAATTTCGAATGTCTGAATTCTCATCTTATTCTTATTACTGTATTTCTAAATCAAATAATCAAGACTTTCTATAGACATTTTATAGTATAATTCACAATGCTAGCAACATACAGGGCCTTATTATTTAACACTGCATTTTAGGTTATTTTAAAGAAGGCAGAATACAACTTACTTCTTTCCTAAAATGTTTTCTATATGATGCACCCTTCAAAAGAATTATGCATAAACACATGGAATTTAAATTTAACCAAGAAAATAAACATACACTTAAGCCCAGGAATAACAAGAGGAAGAAAAAAAAATTGGTATAATGAAACCTTGCCTACTGTTTCTAAAGTAAGCCAAGACAAAGTTCAATCAGTTACTTGTGGTGAGTTTAATTGTAAACTGATTTTTAAAAAACTTTTGTTGAAATCTGTTCTGTGTTACCTCGAGGTTTGGGGTTATCTACTGGAGATTCTGGTTTCCTAGGTGTACCTTCTTGAATTGGATCGAGTCAACTGTAAATTAATTCGATCATGGGAAATAGAAACAACACCTCTCCCTGCTTTTATCCAAGGCCTCAGTTAAAAGGCTAATAATATATGGCAAAAAGTTAAAAGCTCACCAGGGATAAACCCTAACCATGACATTGCCATTTAACTTAGGAAACACACTGCGTCTCTGACGTTCTGTGTAGCCGAAGATTGCAATCCCCACAGTGAGAGAACAGGTGCTGCGTCCGACAACCCTCACTCTTACAGGACAAACCTCTTGACTAATAAAGATGGACTCATTTGACCTTCCTAAATAACTTTACTCAAAAGCCGCCAGATCATTATTTCCACATTAAATGGGAGGACCAGGGACACTCACGCCATTAAGTGCCCAAGCTTTGGCCCTCCTCTCCGGGAGTGGATCTTTGTACGGGTCCACTCCCTGACTGCTAGCCCCAGGACACCTCTAGAAAGCCCCTAACGCAAAGGCATCCCCTTCCCCACAGTCCGTGACTACTGGGACCGAGTTGCCGTCGAGAGGGCAGGTAGGTGTGGAAAAGAGAAGAGGGACACCTCCCACCCTGCCCCCATCCCCTCTCCTCTCGGCTTCGGCCCCTGCCCTATGCAAGGATGTGCGACGCTGAGGGCAGCGGCGGCGCCGCTCCGCGTCCCAGCCGGGGCGACAGGCGCCCCTCACCCCCTAGCCCGCGCCCTTCGGGCCGCCCAAAGGCACCCGCCAGAGCGTCCCGGGGTGCCCTCCCCACTTTTCCCGGAGCCGCTAGATAAGCAGCAGCAGTTGCAGCATCAGGCCTGGGGGGAAAGAGCAACGACAGCCTCCAGTCACATTCCCGGAGCCTCATCAGATCCCGCGCTTGCCGAGCCCCAAACCCTCGGGCGCGCGGGGCCCGGCCCCCAAACGCCCCCTTACCCGAGACGGTAGGAGAGGCAGTCTCCGCTGTTCCCCAGTCGCCGCCGCCAAAGCCCTTAGCCGCAGCTGCCCAGCGCTGGGGGAGTGGGAGGGGTGGCTGGGTGGAGGATGCTACTCCCGACTGAAGGGAAAGGAAGAAACGGAAACAGGAACCACCGCCGCCGCCGCTGCTTAACGGAGCCTTCGGCGCCAGTGACTGAGGGAGAGCGCGAGGCGGCGCGAGCCGGGCAGTAGCTGACAGCGCGAGACCGAGCGCGAGCCGGGTCCGGGGCGCGCGACCCCGAGGGGCGGGCCCCATTCGCCCCATTCCGCGAGGAGAGGAGGGGGACGGGTGGACTGGGGGCTAGGAGGGGGCGGCCCGAGGCGGGGGCCTGGAGCAGAGGGAACCCGGCCACTCGGGTCCGCCGGAGATAACGCGCGCACGCGCCGGAGCGGCTCTGACTATGAGCGAAGGCGGGGAAGCCCAGGCTAGCGCAAGCGTGCGCGCGCGAATGGGGACGCGCGCCCCTCAGCGTTCCAGGCTGCTGGGAGGCGGCGCGCATGCGCCAGCCGCTGCCACCTACGGCGACCCTGGCATGTGCCAGGGCTTCTCCCCGCCCCCTCCTCGCTGCGCCCTTGGATAGCGTAGCCGCAGCATCCACTGCCCGGCAAATCCGCGGGCCACAGCAGGACCGGGAGACTTCCAGCAGGGCAGCAACTGCGCGCGAGCGCCGGCTCCAACACGAGCGTAGGCCGCCCTCTACCGCCTGAAGGCCGGAGGCTGAGAGCGGGAGCGCGAGTGTAGCCGGGCTCCCACTCCCGGGAGCGCCACCTCCAGGGAATGCCCTACTCTCAACCGCCGGGAACGGACCGGCCCGTGCCAGTTCAGCCCGCGACTCTAAGGAGCAGTGGTAGTGGGGATTGGAAGCAGGCTCGTTGCTACTTGTTATGGGTGATCGCTGCTGCTCAGCTCCTGCAGACAGGTCTGGCCACTCGTCTACAGTTTGCAACGCGATCATAGAATGGCATCACACCCACATGCGACTAGCGAAGCTCTACTTTATCTTGTGAGAACGGTGTTTCCACATTCGCCCGGACAGAAAGATCTCCCACGAGGGCCTGAGTTCGATGCCTGGCCTCTCCCCGTGAACCGCGGCTGCTTCAGCCCCTCTGAGGCGGAAGTTTATTCAGTACGAGAAAGAGAACACAGGACGGGATGGGGGAGTGGGAGCCTTTTCCTTAGGATGCTTCCTACCCGCTCGGACTCGGGAAATTCCTGGCGCCCGCGATGCAGAGCAGTGGGCCGAAGAGCTAGCTCACAACAGCCCAGACGGCGAACTGAAACCGAGTTGCTGAGCGCGCTGCCCAGCCACACAAAGTAGTCGCGGCCCGGCGTTGGGGGGGGCACGGTAGCCAATCAGAGACGCAAGCTGCGTGAGTGGAGTGCGAGCCGACCAATCAGAGGACAGGAGGATGAGCTTCCCGTACCCAACTCCCTCTGTCTTCCAGCCCAGATCCCAAGCCCGGAGTGCAGTACCACGGAAAAGCGAAATTGTGCCCTAAAGACAAGAATTATTCCTCCAGACATGGGTATTTTTAAGTAAATACCTTATTCTAGAGCACATAGCGGTGGCCTTTTAAATGCGAGTGTGAAAAATCACAGAAAAGAGATTTAAGAGGCAGTGGCCTGCCAAGACTGCAATCTGCCTAATAACATTTATAAATTTACAGTATTTATTGAGATATTTTTATAGGCCAAGAACTGTAGTATAGAATCCCAAATAAAATACTGCCAATTCAAAGAAGAAAAAAGTTCCCTGTCCCTCAAGAGCTCAGCTCCTGAGAAAGGTTTGCTGGACCTTGTGTCTCCCTTATTTATTGACAACCTTTTAAACAATAAGCTCTCCACGTAGTTCACAGTCATTTTTATGATTATCTCCCTGCAAGAAGAGAAAATTGAGAGAAAAGCAGAGTGACTTATCTAAGGCCACACAAAAAATATATTGGCAGAGCCAAAATTATGTTCCAGTTCAGAGAGCTTTGTCATCATTTAATAATCACTTATTAAATGCTAGGTTGCTATCTTCCAATAAAGAGGTTTCTTCACTAAGCTTATAAACAGAACAAAATTCTGTTATAAGGGCCATAGGTTTGGTTGTTGGAAATAAACAGAAATTTTAGGCTTATGCCATGGTTATGTCTTCTAGATAATTTTTAGAAGTCTGAAGAGGGGTAGATATTTACATTTTAGTTTAAACAGTATTTAAAAAAAATATTTTAGCAAACATGTTTAACTTTAAAGTTTACCTTGTATAATACTTCAAGACCCCAAGTTCAAAGCTTTACATTTACCTTAAAACATCCATGGGTTTTTTTGTTTTGTTTTTTTGTTTTTGTTTTTTTGGTCTGGTCTTTATTTTTCCTTTCCAGAAACCAAGAGATTAAAATATTTAGCTTTTCTACCTCCTGCTCAAAAAGAAATTAAAAAATCTGTCGAAAGAATATTTGTTCAAGATTAAGTGCATTTTTTATAGCACTGTGTAATATATATTAAAATACCAAATAACTGGTGACTAGCTCTGTTGAGTCAATGTGCTTCTCAGCCTGTGACGGAACACTGTTATCAAAACCCTTTCTAAGGCATGCCTAGGATTTAGCTGCCACCTCAGAACTGGAAGTATCAGTTAAACAACTGACTTTTGAGAACAAATCTTTACACATTAAGTTCCAGGCCAAATATGAATTTACAGAAAATTCATAACAGTCCAGCTTTTAAAATATTTTTTTTTTACTCTTTCCAGAGAGGAATATTACTGAAAATGCCTTTCTTTTGCCAGGTTAAATTTCTGAGAGAGAAAGTATCCCCAAAAGGTTCTACACATCACTGGCCACCAGAAGACATCTCTGTCAAAGAGTGTTTTCTCAACAAGTTTCTGCCTTCCTCTCTGCTGCTGGTTCCTCTCACTCTCTTCTCACTCCAGGTGCCTGCCTCTGCCCCCACATCACTCCTAGTTTCAGATATTTGCTTAAGAAAGTAGAAGTGTTCCACCACTTCCTCCATCCCTCCCTCACCAACTAGGCTTTAGGCCTATCTTTGCTTAAGCGAAAACTTGAATATAAGTTCTTCTCAACAAAACATTGTACAGAACGTTCTTCATATTTTATACTAAGAACTAATTGATCCTTGTCAGTATGTCATATGCTTTTACACATCCCTGGTCAAATTCTTAGTCATTGGCTAGAGCCATGGGGTCTTGTGGATGGGGCAAGGAGGAGTCAACCATTAGACAATAAAAAAATATCGAAATGAAAGTTAAGTGAGTACCTAAGTAGCCATTATATTGAAAGATCAGTTTGATCAAAGTTAATGAATATGAATACTATCACATTCCCCAAGCTGTGAACATTATTATAGGAACTAGTTTGAAATTTAATACCATTTTATAATGACTGTAATAAAAATAATAGCCAATGTGTAATATTGCTCAGTGCCCAGCCCTATGATAAACTCTACCTCCATCATTTAATTCTCAAATCAACTCTTCAAGGTAGACCCTATTATTATAGTGGGGGCATCTGTGGGGTCACAGAGAAGGGTTGAGAAGGCTCTCAGGAGGTACAGCAGAAACTATTTACCAAATACTTTAGAAAGTTTTCCATCTCTATTAGTGTAGACCAACCAGATGTCAGCCCAAAAACATTCTTAATAATTTTTAATTGTGCTTGTTTTCTGATTGTTGCTCTAGCTACATTTTACTTAGAGGGTTCCATTTTGCAGTAAATCATCCAAAGGACAGCACTGTTATTGCTACATGCAAGAAGGTATGACCTTGAAATAATCATTTTGCCCATTTGGGCCTTAGTTTTCTCATCTATAAAATAAAGAGATTGAACGAGATAAATTTTAGCTGTTTGACAGTTCTAAACTATAAATCTAGCTAGCTTGACAATAACCACAATAACGGAATTTGGAAAAACAGTCTATATTGTCAAATTCAATAAAAGTTTTAAGTCACTTTTGAGCCAACTCCTTAAATAGAAACTGTCTATTTACACTCACTCATTAAAGAGCCAGAGACAGTCTTTCTAATCAAAAGACTGAATGAAGTGATTGATTTAAAGGCTAATGAAACTAGCCAAACTATTTCCCCCTACAACTTACCTCCATGGCTGAAATTTGTTTTCTTTTGCTTTGGGATAAAGTATCGTATAGTTCAAACTGTCGATTTCTTATTTAATATCTACCCCTATATCTTCCATGTTTTGTTTTTGTTTGTACATTTTTCACAGGTACATCCTTGCCACCCACTCCCACCCTTGTAGTTGGCTGGATCATACGACTAGTTACAGCCACTAGTCTATAGCGGGTTATGGGTAGAAGTGATATGTTTTACTTCCAGGTAAAACATTTAATTGCAAGTATAAGTCCTTATAGTTTTTACTCTTCCCCAGCCTCAAGATCAGCATTGTTGAAAATGATAAAGCCTTTGTCAGCCTAGGTCCCCAGGAAAGTACAATATAGAACAGCCCACCTCCCACCTTCATCAAGTCAGGATGTATAAGTAGTTTGAGGGGGTTGGGGGAGAAACGCTTTTGTTTTTTAAGCCACTAAGATTTGGAGTTATGTTTTCACTACAGTATGACCTAGAATCTAAGTTATGCTAGGTCCTAGACTACTTAAATTAGTGTACTTGAAAACCATATAGTCCTGGGTAAACTAGCCCAATCAGACTAAAGGGAAGAATTTTTAGTCAATGCTTAGGGAAACAGATGCTCTCATTCTTACCAGGTATGAATAAGTCAACCTATAACCCAGATTGCCACTGGCAGCAAGCTAACCACCACAAGAGGAACTAACCTTAGAATTATGTCAATACACTGAGGATGGCAAACAGAGAGAAAAACCTTTGAGGATATGATTCTGCTGATGGTTATATCACTCCTGAAGGCTACTCTTCTCTGGACTTCTAATTCTGCAAAATAATAATTGTTTGTTTCTCCATAACAACTATATCTTATATATCTTTAATTTCATCACAGTTCTTAACATAGATCTAGCTTGAAAAGCACTCAAAAATATTAGATAAATTAGAATTTTTAAAATATAATAGCTCACTCTCTTGCTTTCAGAAAAAATATTACCTGCTTTAACAAGGGGAAAATGTAATTTGATTCAACCCAATCTTTTTAGAGATGAAGAGATTAAGACTCAGACACAGTACAAGATTTACCAAGTTCATATAGCTTTGCTATGGCAGAACTGAGGGGGGAAAGCCTAATAATTGCTTCATCAAAAATGACCATAGTTTCCAACT